AAGAAATGCCATGTAAGCTGTATCCATTAACTTTTTCCAGGCCAGGAGACAGGAAAAATTACAATCATTGCATTACAGAAACTAGAAAGAAATTCATTTCTTCCACTGGCCTTCAATCAGAACAGCAGCCAAACTCTCCCAGAAAAATAATAATCTTTCATTTTCTTTAGAATATCCAGAAGGTCCCCTCATGAGAACACATTAAAGCATCTCAGAAAGAGCCATGGATCACTTTCATTAAGTCAATAAAGCATTAACCAAATCAATAGTCAAAAGATGGAGCTTTTCACCTAAAGTCCCAAGAAGACAACATTCCTCTCATAATCCCCTAAGGAAAAGGGTGGAAGGAGTGAACTTTAGCCCATCCCAGGTGTTTCTTTCTAAATTAGCCAATGCTACTTTTATTCACCTGGTCTAATAGTTCTGCTAGTGAACAAAAACCCGATTTTACAGGCCAGTGGAGCAGAGTCTATCTTTCGCTAGAAGAATGGGCCTCTGCTAGTGTGTTTTATTTCTTCATTAGTGTGCCGTCACAATGAGTGCTCACTAAATGCAGGGCTGAATAAGAATGCCGGGGTTAAAGAGAGCATAATGAACAAAGAAGGGGCCTGATTACCATGGCTGTCAGCACAAGGGAATTGGGTTTGTCACCTGGCTTAACCAACTGGGAAGAACTGATTAGAGTCTGAAATCAGTTTGAAAAGATCCCTCCCCTACATGTTGAAGCCTCCCTTCATCTCCATAGCTTGTCAAGAGAGACTGACAATGGAGGCGAATAGGGCAGTGGAAAGGACACTGGCCTATGAGGCAATGACTGGGGTTCTGACCCCGGCTTCTGCTACTAACTAGCTGAATGACCTTAGTTGTGCAAATTAGGTCATCTCTCTGGGCCTCGGTTTCCTTATCTGTAAAAGATGGAGATTAGTAGAAATTACTTTAAAAAGTTCTAAAAGGGGTATGTGTGTGTGTGTGTGTGTGTGTGTGTGTGTGTGTGTATGAATGTGAGATTTCACTGACGTCAGAAACTCTCAATGAAGAGACTTCCTCTACCAAAGCAGCATCTGCTTTTCAACTTACAGGCTTACAAAGACGTCTGGGACAAAGAGGTTAAATGACTTGCTCAGGTTCACACAGTCAGTATGTGTCAATAACAGAATTTGAATCCAGGTCTTCCTGACTCTAAGACCAGTTCTCCTTTCACTACATAATGCTTCTTCTCTAATGAATGCTTTATGATTATGCTTAATTAATGCTTAATGTTTCATTCAGGAAGAATACTGGCGTAGGAGAGAGGTAGTGTGAATAGTGGATAGAGAACCAGCCTCAGAATCAGAAAGACCTGGGTTAAAGTCTTGCTTTTGACATATACCAGCTGCATGACCCTGGGTAAGTCACTTAACCTATTAATGTCCCAGGCAACTCTCTATAGATACGTTTGCATAGATGAAAAGAGTTTTCACACTGGTAGCTTCTCAAAATTTATCAAATTGCAGGTCTAGACAACAAGAACAAAAAAAAATTGAAAAGGGAATACTTTGATAAACATTCTATCCTCTGAAATGACTATTAAGTTTAAAGTAAAGGCAGAGACACAGTGGTGATTGCCTGTAATCCCTGCTGCTGAGAGAACCTGGGACTGGTGGATCACTTGTGCTTGGGAGTTCTGAACTGCAGTGGGCTAAAGCAGATAGGGTGTTCACATTAAGTCTGGTGCCAATATGGTGATCCCCAGAGATAGGGGGACAAGGAAAGGAATCAGGCTGCCTAATCAGGTCCAAGTCAGAAACAGAACAAGTCAAAGTTCCTTTACCAATTAGTATTGAGATCAGGCCAATGAGTGGCCCCTGCACTGTACTACCTGCTGGGAAGACCCAGTCTTAGACAGAGAGATGATACATGGAGATAGAGATAGAGATTGAAATAGAGATTGATGATAGGCTAAGATGGAGATTGAAAGAAGGTGATAGATCATAGAGCGTGTGTGTGTGTATGTGTGTGTGTGTGTGACAGAGAGAAAGAGAGAGAAGAGAAAGGAGAGAGAGAGACAGAGAGAGAGAGACAGAGAGAGAGAGAGAAGAAAAATGAAGGGAAATAACATAAGGTAAGGTAAAGTAGGGTAAAAGTAAAGATGGTGCCTAAGAAGGAAAATCCGAAGCCTCAGGGTAAAGGACGAGGCTCTGTAATACATTACTGACTCTGCCACTAACTACTGAATAAGTCAAGTACCTTCCCTGTTATAGGAGTTTCCCCATTTGTAAAATGAGCCCAGATCATTCCACCCTCACAGGAGATTTTAAGAGCTTTAATTAGTTAATGTTTGCCAAGTGCTTAAAGACCCTTAGATGAAAAGACCTATAAAATCAACCATAAAGAGGAAGTGAGTGTGATTCCAAAGAAGTAAGTGACATGGACGCTGCTGCAGGGAGTCAGATGGGACTGGCTTCCTGTGTCCACTCCAGACTGTAACCAAAGACCTTGGCTTAAAAACTGCAGCAAGGACATGTTTCACAGCCAGCAGATTCTGAGGCATGAACTGACATATGAAAAAAGTCTCCACTTGATCAAGTCCAGAGAGATTTTTCCCATTAAGACAGACCAACAAGAAAAAGGAACGAAACCTAGCTCATTTATTGACATGGATCTTGCACTAAGGAGGAAAGAAGCAAGTTCAGTCCTCCCCATGATGAAACCCCCTTTTTATTCTATTCAGTGACCAGAGTGCTTTTACTCTGACTTTTTTTTTGGGGGGGGTCAAGCCATGTGCCAAATCTCAGAATGAACTTTGAAATCACAAAAACAATTATTTTTCTTTTCTTACTTGAATTCCACTTAGCAAATTGGATGACAATTTCTCCAAAAACTAATGTTGACAGGCTCTGCTAACACCTCTTCAATGAGCATGGTCAGTGCCTCATGTATCACATACAGAACTTGGATGAGTATTGCTTGAACTGAATATCTCCAATGTTCTTGTGACTTGAGCAACTGACTGCTGAAAAGGTTCATCATTTCACAGATGATGAATCTAAGTTGCCTTGATTTGTATAAGATCATTCTCTACACTGGTCTGCAGATCCTGGAATCACAGGGAGGAAAGTGTGGAAAAGGGAAGTACAATCTCATCCTCTCACCAAACAATAAATTCTATGGGGTTAATGGTGCAGTGGAGCTCAAGACAGGACTGGAATTATGTGTTTGGGATTTAGAAGGAGGAGAGGTTTCTAGAAAAGCCTGTTTTTTTTTATTTACTTATTATTATTACTTCCATTATTTAGATAAAAGATTCTTATGGTCCTAAGTTATTTTTAATTGTAAATATCTCCTGGAAAGGTATCACAAAGGTAAGGGAGTGGTATGGATGGGAGAAAAGGAGAATTAGTTCATCAAAGTCAGTTACTTAGAAGAGCCTGGGGAAGGAGACACTGAAGAGGTAAATTTTGATAGGAAGTACGCATGGAAAGAGAACAGATTGAAATATGGAACCCTAGTCAATGAGGTAAGGCCAAAGTAGTGTGACAAAGTGGGAATGGTATGAGAATCTGGGGCAAGTGATGCTGGGAAAGGGGCACCAGAAGTGGGGGAGAGAGGAGCTGAGAGAGAGAGAGACAGAGAGACAGAGAGAGAGAGAGACAGAGAGACAGAGAGAGAGAGAGACAGAGACAGAGACAGAGACAGAGAGACAGACAGAGAGACAGAGAGAGACAGAGAGAGAGAGATGGGAATGTCTGGAGGCAAATCAGCTACTTCTTAATTCTAGGACTGCCACTGATTAGTCATTTGTCACTTGAGGTTGCTCTAGACCAGGGAGGCCCCCTAGGATTCTCTCCAATCCGTAACATATAGGGAGTCAAGATTAGCTCTAATTTATTTCTAGCCAGGAAGAACTTCATGAAGTAAGGAAAATTTCAGAGCCAAGCTGTGCATTCGGAACTATCCCATTTGTATCCTGAATGGATGGCCTTTGGGGTGCCTGTATTCTGCTCCTCAGTTCTCTGAGCGGTCACCTAATTATCCTGGAGAATGTCCTAGATGTTATTGCAGCTACCTGGGGAAGCCCAGAAAAGACTCCCAATTACAAAAATGTCATCTGCATGGTTGTGGTTTCCTCTGGTAGGGCAGGGTTGGGCAAGGCAACAGTACATAACAGGCGAAACTGAATTGCCACATCACAGTGGTAATAAACTATATTAAACTATGTAGCTATAATAAACTATAGGGCTATATTCCCTAATGTGCTCTGCCCACTCCTGGGCTGTATCCCCTTCTGAGCCTATGCATGGCACAATAAGCATAGATAGAGGAACTCTGCCCCTACCCATGGTAGGGATTTCTTCACTCCTCCATCCTAATGGCAAAGCATAAATGTATGAACAAAGAGATAGGCTGTACTTTAATAATGATGGTGCCAACAATAACCAGGTTCCCCATTTGTATTTATATTGTTCCTTTCCTCCAAAGGGCTGCTAGGACTTTTACGTATATATAATCCCATTCACATAACCTTGCCCTATACGTGTTTCTCCCTCAGCTGTCAAAATTATTGAGCATCCTGGGTGGAATGGTAAAGCAGTTTATAAATTCAAATCTTCAGCCCTAATTACACTGTCAGATGCCCACAAAAAGCTCAACTGGAACTCCCTCCACAAAGTGTTCTGCCGGCAGGATACACATTTGAAATGAAACCAGAACAGCGAACCAGATCCTCTCATTTCCATCGGCCATTATCCTGCTATTATTGAGGGGAGGAGGGGACACGAGGGGGAGAGATCACTCTGATCTAATTTGTCCACTGCAAGGTGGCCATGCTGAGAGAAGACCTGGTATTGTCCAGTACTGCCCCTCAGAGTAACCAACAGGGCAAGAAGATGAATGCAGGCTACTGGCTGCGTTTGCCTCGCTTCTCAAAGGGAGTTTTTGTTGTTTATTTTCCCCTCTGGGCATGACTGAAGCAGAGCAGGAAGAGACATGGAATAGTACTGGGAAAAAAGCATTCAACTTACGAGTGCAGGGCATGGAAGCTGCATCGTCCTCTGCTCGAAAGTAGCCTCGGTCACAGGTGCAGGTGGTGGCTCCCTCCCAGACCGAGTAGCTGTGGGGAGGGCATTTGGCACAGGCGGTATCGGTGGAAAGGGCCTTGTAGTAGCCAATCTTGCAGGCTGTAGGGATGGAAGGGAAGGAAAAACACCAGACGTTTAGATCACGATTAGAGCAGGGAGTAGTAACACATACCCGGGTCATCTTCTTGATTGGGAAGAAAGCCTAGAGTTTGGCCCCTGGTATGAAATGAGCAGATGTTGATCTGGTATGAAATGAGCAGATAGTTGATCACTATCGCCATCTCAGAGCTGCCAACGTTCCTACTCATAGGACAACCTCCTTCAACACTGGCAGTGGCAACCCTAAGTGGATTCTTTAGTCAGAAAGCCCCCTGCCCCTACACAAGTCCATTTCCATTCTCTGTCTCTGCCTGTCTCTCTCCTCTATCTTTCTCCCTGCCCTGCTCCCACTCTCCCTTTCCTCTTTTCTTCTTCATTCTCCATGTCTAAGACCAAAGTTAATATTTCAGACTGAAGCTATAGTTTTAGTAGTAGGAAGTGGACTTGAACCTTCCACACACCTCAACAATCTGTGAAACATGAAATACCACATTCTACCTGTTCAAAAGAAAGAAAGGAAAGAAAGAAGGAAGGAAGAAAAGAAGGAAGAAAGAAAGAAAGAAAGAAAGAAAGAAAGAAAGAAAGAAAGAAAG